TCAGCTAATTTTTGTATTTTTAGTAGAGATGGGTCTCGCCTTGTTGGCCAGGCTGGTCTTGAACTCCTGACCTCAGGTGATCCACCCCCACCTCAGACTTCCAAAGTGCTGGCATTACAGGTGTGAGCCACCATGCCTGGCCTTTGTTTTTGTTTGTTTGTTTTAGACAGAGTTTTGCTCTGTCACCCAAGCTAGAGTGCAGTGGCATGATCTCAGATCACTGCAACCTCTGCCTTCCGGGTTCAAGCGATTCTCCTGCCTCAGCCTCTGAGTAGCTGGGACTACAGGTGTGCGCCACCACACCCAGCTAATTTGTTTGTATTTAGTAGAGATGGGGGTTTCACCACGTTGGCCAGGCTGGTCTCGAACTCCTGGCCTCAGGTGATCCGCCCGCCTTGGCCTCCCAAAGTGCTTGGATTACAGGCATGAGCCACTGCACCCAGCCTGCTTATGACACATTTCTAAAAGAATTGCTGGGTCAAATGCACATGCTCAAGGCTTTTGATACATATTGCCAAACTGCACTCTAGAAAAGTGCTGCCAACATATACTCTCAGCAATATAAGCAGCCCTGTTTCTCTGAACCCTTGCCAGTACTATCAAGAAATAACCACTTGTTAAAATAATGCCTGAAGATTAATGTTTAACATGTTTTGTCACTCATAAGTTGGGCTTACTATTAAACTTTTAACTGTTACAATATTACCATTCAAAGCTTAAGATTCTTACACATATTTCAGATGATAGAAACTGAGGTCTAGTAAATTATAAATCAGACCCCTTTTAGTGTGAATTTTAGCCCTGGACATACTGCAGTGCAGTCTACTTTTTTTTCCCCCTTGTAATAGCCTTACAGATTTCCCAGAAAAAGATAGACATCTTCTTTATTAAGTTGAAGGCTAGGAATATTCTATTGGTTTAGTACCGTTTTTCCTGTTTCCTAGATTGGATTTTACAAATTTTGTGTTAAGGATACCTTTTGACATTTACTCATTTAATATTAAAATAGTCTAGCTAATCTTGGATAAGAATTTTGTCGCTTCATTCACTGACTCACTAATTTAACAGCACTTATCTAACGCCCACCATGTGTGAAGGATAAAGTAGTGAACAAAACAGGTGTAGTTTATATTTTTGTAGGGTGAAGGGAGGTATGAAATAAACAGTGAATAAAGATAATGATAAATTATAAATGCTATTAGGAAAATAGAGGGGCACGTGATTGATAGACAATAAATGGGAATGGGAGCTATTTTAGATAGGGTGGCCATGGAAGGCCTGTCAGATACATTTGGGTTAACCTGAAGGAAGAGAATGAATGAGCCATATTCAAGACAGTAAAACCACATCCCAGGCTGAAAAAAAAAATAAAAAATAAAAAGCAAGTGCAAAGTCCCTGAGACAGAGTATCAGGTAAGATTAAATTCAGTTGAGAACAACAGACCCCAAAATAGCGGGTGTAATAATATAGACATTTACGAGTGCAGGGCTGGCATGGTGCTCTCATCCACAAGGTCCTCAGGGACCCTGGTTTCCACCAGTTTTGCCATCCCTAGAATGAGAGAACCTGCATGAGACACAAATTGGCAGCTAGAGTTCCAAGATCACATCTATAGTCCACGGTACAGGATAAAGGAAAAGCCGCATTGAAGGTGTACACCAACTATCTTTTAAGGATGGTTTTACAAGTGTGCCACATGATACAATGCTTATATCCCATCAGCCAGCACTATTACATGGCTACAAGGAAGGCTGCAAAATACAGTCTTTGTTCTGGGTAGCCATGTATCCATGTCTACTACTATGAAAAAAATGGAAATTTTGGGGACAACAGGCTCTGCTACAGACTACAAAGAGCTCAGCCCACGACAGAAAGGAGGCAGTAAAAAGGGTGAGAACAATTTCCCGTACTGCTTCCTGGGAAGATGGAGAAGTGGGCAGGAGCCAGATTATGCAGTCTTGAAGGCTATGGTAAGGAATTCCGATTTCATTCTGTGTGCATAAGGAAGCTACTGGAGGTTTTAAACAAGGGAGTGACATAACCTAATAACATTTTTTAAATGATTGCTTTGGTTGGTATATAGAGAATGGTTTGAATGGGAAAATTTTCATGAGGGTACAGATAGAAAGTGAAAGCAGCTAGTATGGATATTGCCGTGGTCCAGCAAGAGATGATGGTGGCTTCCAAGGGCTGTAGTGGTGGAGGTGACAAGCAGCTAAATTCAGAATATATTTGTCAGGCAGAATTGATGGTACTGTCTGATGAGCTGTATGAGTGTGAAGAATCACAGAAAATTCCAAGTTTTATGCTTGAGCAAATAAGTGAATGGTGGTACTATTTATGAAAATCAGGAATTCTAAAGGAGGAGGAGATTTAGGGAATGAACAAAGGAGATTCAAATGTTGTTTTAGACACATTAGAGAAGCCTGTGCTTTTTATCCCTTGCCATGGCAAAATTTTCAATACCATCCATAGTTTTCTAAAAATGGGTGGCCGCCTTCTTCTACAAGTTATACACAAACTCATTCTTCCCTTAATAGGGTATTTTTTTCCCTCAAAGTCTGTAATTTTTAAATGAAGTGTACAGAGAATTTAACATAACACATATTTTGGAAATACACAAAACATGTGCCTATTAGTATGGACTACTTTTCAGGTAAAAGAAAGAAAATCTATTAAGATAGTCAAAAGAAAACCAAACTACCAAATGGGCAAACTTGATTAACATTACCAATGAAGATGAACTTTTTGATGCAACAGGATAATTCAAAAAATGTAGCATCTATTCTTAGAGTAAGAATAGTAACTCTTATAGTAAGAATTCTTACTACACAAGCCTTTAACAAATGCTAGGTCATTAAATACCTAGAGTACCCTCTAAGGTAGGTATTAAAACAATTTTAACAAATTTATAATAGATTTGGCACAAATAATAGGACAATTAAAGGCTTGTCCTTCAACATGGCTTAAAGTGAATTCATCCTAAACAAATAGTGTTCAGTGAGTCAAAGTAAGTAGTATCAAATATTGAAAGTAATAGTATCAGTGTATTTTCTCCTAACACTCCTAACCCACACGTTTATTATAAAAATGTTTGTTGTTCTATCTCTTCCAGTAAAATACTCAAGGTAATAAAACTCTCAAATCAGACTTACACCCTCTGGAAGTCATTCTATAGAGATATAACCAATCTTTTAACACACCATCTTATGGTTGAAGATGTTAACATGAGAGGAGGAGAAAGCAGAAAGAGGAAGGGACTATTTGGAGAAGACGGGGAGAAAAGAAGGAAAGACACCAATGTGTTGTTCCTCCTCGAATTTTCCTGAAGTGAAAAAAAAAAAAAGAAGTAGAATGTTTGATGAAATGAATAACCAAGTAAAACATTTTCTGTCTACACTAGTACCACTAGGAGTTGAAATAAATTCACACAATGTCTGCTATGTCAAAACACCTTACCTTCAAAAACATGACAGTTACCTTTTATTTTATAGTATGTTGTGTTTCTTGCTATTTCTTATTTTTGACCTTCAATGACAAATTTAAATTGGATTACAGTGATTCTTTTGTAAGGAAAAGGTGAATTTTTAAAAAAAACAACCAAGTGAAGTAGAAATTTTATTTACTTCAAATTAACTAATTACTCAAATAGAAAAGGACAATTTTCACATTATGAAGCTACACAATTCCAAAACACACATGCAGAGGCTCTTAAGAACGAAATGTCTAGTAATTACAAAAAAAAAAGTGAAGAGTTTACAGACATACAAAGAAATAAAGGGGAATTATTGCAAAGAAAAGTTTAATTTCACTTTGAACGACAACGATTTTTCCGGAAAGCAGATACTTCACTCCTTTAAGTTTCCACCCAAGCCACAATAATTTCAAATGGTCTTGCGGATGACCCAGCTGGTCACTCTTATTTATGTGGAGACTGGGGGGAATGAGAGTCAGAAAAAGTGCTATAAACCTAATTTGGCTAGAGCAAGTTCACACGACACGACCGTGCTTTAAAAACTTGCTCTCCATTATGTACTTCCTTCCACCAGGTTGGGGGAAAAAAAAAAATGGTGAGGATGGTGAGTAAATACACCAGTGGTTTCATCAGAGGGGAACTCACTACTCAGAAGGTGACGGTGACGTGGTGCCGGTCCCTGAAGTACGCGCACAAGCTCCGGAGGTTGCGGGAGCTAAGGGAGGAAACGGGGACACGGTTAAATTCGCCCAGGTGGCGGGAGTGAGGAGGGGAGGAGTGAGGAGGCGGACGTGCGGGGGCGGGGTGTCCAACACAAACACAAACACAAACACGAACACGCTCAGCATCCCCGGGGAGGGCGGACTGAAGCCACCTCACCATTCATCGCCCCTGGACCCTGCGGTCCCCCTCGGACTTAGGGCCAGAGCCCTCTGCGAAGCAACCTGGCCCCAGGAAAACGGTAGCGGCCGCAGAAGCCCCGCTCTCTGTAACGGCCGCGGAGCAGCAGCAAGCCTCCCTGTGAGTCGATGGGAGACAAGACGGAACAGCGGTGAGGGCGGTAGGGGAGTGAAGCGCCTCTCTCCACCTTGTTAGAAGCGCGCTGGAAGCGGCCTACCCACCCCATCGCTGCTGCTTTGCAGTCGCCGCTCCCACCTTCCGCCGCCACCCGGAGGGAAGCCGGAGCGACGGGGGTCACGGCGGCGGTCAGAGGGTAAAGGTCTTGCTCCCAGCAGCCTCCGCGGTGGATACGTCGCCATCTTGGATCCGCGGGACAAGAAAATTCATGCGGTGAGTTTTTGGCAAATTTTCGGAAGTCTGGCAGCGGGGCGCGCGGCGGGGGCGGCGGATTCGGGGCCCCCGCAAGGCGGGGGAATGCCCCGGGGCCGGTCCGGCCGCGCCCGGGGTCCGCCGGTAGCGTCCCGGCCCGCCGCTTCCCGTTGCTTTTGTCTCGGCTCCAATCGAGAGAGGGAGAGCGGAGCGGGCGGGGAGGGGGGGTGGCGGCGGTGGAGGGAGGGAGGGGGTGTGTATGGGGGTGGTGGTGGACGGGACGTAAAGCGTCGCTGTACTCGGGCCGCTGCAGCAGCAGCTCCAGATCCTAGGCCCGGTCCCATCCGCGAGTGGCGGGGCTTCCCCAGACTCCACTCCCCTAGGCTCCCGCCAGCGCGGAGGAGCCGCTACCGCCGCGCTGCTTCCTGGGGGAGAAGAGAAGGCGGCTGCGGCCGTGGCTGAGGAGCTCGAGCCCGCTTTAGACGGCTCTGCCGCCTTCCCAGCAGCTGGTGCTGTCTCTGGCTCCTTACATTCTCAATACACGTATATCATCTGCCAGCTATGTGTATTTCTGTTAGTGTGTGTGTAAGTGTCAGATGGGAGACACTGGACTGGCTAACGGGTGTCAGGAGCCTGCAGGCCCTGGGATACCGAAGGCTGTGCATGGTGGAGGGAGAAGGAATGCAACTGCGATGCTGCCTCTGCCACCGCACCAGGAAGGTGAAGCTTCCGTAGTGTCGTAGACTGAGTCCGGATGGTCCTGGGGCGGCGGAGGAACCACAGATGCTTCTGTCTGTGAAGTTGCAAGCCCTGGTTTTCTACTTCCGCAGGGGCCTCTCCACCTTTTGCTGTTGTAGGTCTCACTTAAAAGTTTCACAGAAGAAAAGAGTAGGGTTAAAAGAGGCCTTTGTAGTTCTTAATTGAGGCACTGTTGTCTGTCCGGGAGAAAGCTGATGACTCTTGGTGACTGTGGTCTTTAGCAAAAGTGAATTGTAGTTTTCTTTTATACAAAGTATTTCCAAGGTTTTAGACTTTATATTTATTCCAGGCCTGTAGGTACGGTATTACCACCACAAAAGTCTTACATAAGGGTACCACCCTCTCAGAAGGAACCTAAACATCAACTTCCTTCGAATCCTTGGAGACATCTTCACTTTTCAACATCCGGAAAACTGAGTGCAACATATTTTGTTTCATTTTCATAAAACTCTTGGTCAGAGAATCCCACTCCTTTTAAAATCGTTTGGGCAGTTCTTCGTAATTAAGTACACTGATTTGAACCCTTAGATTCTTGGCGAAATGGTAAAAAGTACTCAAAGTCAGTTCACGAGGGAGGCCAACTTAAATTTAAGGTTCCAGAGTTGAACATACTTCATGCTTGATATTAGGAATTTTTAGAGCTCGGAATCATAAGTGACTCTTGATTTCCCTTTTGAAGCAAGATAAGTGGAAAGAATAAAGTATGGGGTGAGGGATGAGATAGAAATTTTAAAGTATCCATTTACATACAAGGTTTATGTTGAGTTTGGGAATGCTTGGCATAATTGACAACAGTTCTTTCCAAACGTCAATGAATATGTCTCTTATAATTTTGTAAGATTGCGAATTGAAAGGGTTAAGAATCACAGTGGGCTGAAATGGTTAAGTGTCTATATTCAGAGCCCAGTTCATTGAAATGTTTTATAATGGACCAAGATAATTAGTAAGCTCTGTATGTTGAATTTGTTTAGTTTGTAGTTCTTTTATAATGTTAAATCCAAAGAAAAATACAAAATACACTTAAAGACAAAACATGTTCCACTCTACTCACTTATTTCTTGACTTTGTAAGATCCTTATTGTAGAAAAGGTATCTTTCTCTCATATTTTCTGAGAGCTTGAATTGTAATAACTTTTGTGAATACTTTGTATTTTAGAGAGGAAGTGAGAAACTCTGCTAAAGTTTTTTTTTTTTGTATCTGAATTAGTACTTCATCAATACAAATAAGTTAATGTAAACATTTGTTGGCAGGAATCTTTTTTAAAGTATACAATGTAGAGATATCTGTAACCTAATCTGATCTCAGGGAATGAGAATTGCCTGTTTGTTTAACCAAGCAACACATACAGCCTATACAATTTTTCAGTTTCTATAATACTTTAATTTATATGGTGGAAAAGGAGGGCAAAATGCTTGTGTGTGAGTGATTTATATCCCCAAGTACCTGATCTTGAAGATAAAACTCAGAATGTGGCTTATCTTCTGATGCTGGGCAAAAAACAAAAACAAAAAAATTCAGAATGATACAACTTCCCATATACCTCCCTACAAGGACTAATTACCTTTGTTTTTCCTTTATAACTTTGGGTGTTGCACTTTTTGATTTTTCAGAGATGCTTTACAGTTATTATAACCTGAAAATTATTTGTTCAAAAGTAAATAAAATTTTCAGGTGTATGAATAGATTTTATTAGAAGTGCTTCTAACCCAGTTCTCATTTGTATTCCTTTAGTAGATACTGGTATTAAAAGTACCTATATTTTGAAAGACCATTACAGAATTTTTTACAACCTGTATAAGTTATAGTTTTATGTTTTCTAGTGACAGACTTCATAAGATTTTCTGATAATATAGAATGTATGCTTCACATGTATATGTGAAATAATGAGTAATTAATAAAGCATTAATAGACTAGTGAAAAACACTTAGCTTACAATTTATTTTTTTGCTCTTTAAAAGCAATGTTAAACAATAGCTGTTTTTTTGTTGTTAAAATTTGTTAAAATTTTCCTGAGATTTCAGGAAAATATACAACCAAACATTTATGATGTTATTTGTTACCTGGATCTGTAGGGGATTTTGTAACACAAAGAGGCAAAAGATCCAAGGTACCAGGTAGGGCAGTTTAGGGGCAGAGTTAATATGAGGTGTACTGTAATGTTTGAGTGGAATTACATACAGTGTTAATCAAGGGATCTAGTGCTATGGTAGAACTTATTCTGCTTGATGATACAGGTGACTGTTCTTCCTTACTAAGAGCAGTTTCTACCTGTGATACTTAAAGGGATTGAATTTCACTGTGACTTATACCAGATATTTTGAAAAGAGCTGTGCTGAAGTTGATGTCGTTGTAGAAAGTTTGCCTTGAAGTGGAATGAAAGTTAGGGTTTTATTTCTTTAGTTTTTCTGTTTAACATCCTTTGATTTCTATTTTAGAATTCAACTGTTATGACTAATCATGCTGATGTGGCTTGTTCATTTATTTACTTTGTCTATACTATTAGGAATGTCCTGGAAATAGAATTCATAGTGTGTTTTCTGACAGCTTGTTCTCTGAAATACAGTTGCAAATCTGTTGGTATCCGTTGGTATATCACTTGGGGGTGTGCTGCATTATAAAGTAATAAAACAGTTTACGATGTTTACTTTTTGTCAAGAGCTCATGATATATAATATGGAAATACGAAAAAAGTGAATTATTTAGAAAAAAATGGGAAATTTTTCGTTTTCTGGGCACTTTAGTGCTTTGTATATGCTTAGACTCAGGATCTAAGTCCACTTAGATATATAGTTAGATATTTTGGACTATTTGCCACTTAACCCTGAACATTTTCCTTTCCTTATTCTTTTTTTTTCTTCTTCTTTGAGACGGAGTTTTGCTCCTCGCCCAGGCTGGAGTGCAATGGCGCGATCTTGGCTCACTACTACCTCCACCTCCCAGGTTCAGGTGATTCTCCTGCCACAGCCTCCTGAGTAGCTAGGATTACAGGCATGCGCCCGGCTAATTTTGTATTGTTAGTAGAGACAGGATTTTACCATGTTGGTCAGGCTTGCCTCAAACTCCTGACTTCAGACAACCTGCCTGCCTCAGCCTCCCAAAGTGCTGGGATTACAGGTGTGAGCCACCACGCCCATCCTCTTCCTTTTATTCATGTGTATGTTATTGCATGTATGTGTGTGGGGGAGGGTGGTGGTGCATATTTTATGTATCTTTCACTTCTCTGTTGTTAGATGAACTTCTTCTATACTCCTCTTTGGTATCACTTTCTTCATAAATCTTTCCTGACTCCTCAAATCTTTCTGCTGTATTGCTTTTTAGTCTTCAAACTTCTATTATAGAATGTCACACTGTATTGTAATTTACTGTCCATCTGGACTGGGAGCACCTGAGAGGTAGGGCTTTGATTTGTTTATGTTCATGTTTCGAATGCCTCTATAGTGCATAATACTTAGTAAGTTCTCAATACGTATCTATTAAACTGAACTGTTGCTAGATTGTCATTTGTCAGTACTGTTTCACAATCCACAGATCTGAAGCAACAGATTGGAAAAGTGGTGGGGAGAATGGCATCCTGTATTCCTTCACTTTCTTGAATCCTGTCTTACAGTTTTGCTTCTTAATTACATATGGAAAAATAGATAACTAGCTTCTTAGAGAACTGTGTGTTGAGTTAGTATGGAATTAGGGGAGGATGTTAGTAATAGAGTGATTAATACCCTGTTTTGCTTCTGGCAGGATGTTTAGGTCTGTATTTCTTGCTGTATTATGTGTGGTTATGGCCATTATTTGAAGGAGATATTTTGTATTTGTCTTTACAAGGTAACATGTTTACCAGTACTTACCCATGAGCTCCTATTAGATTTGGGGCTTCTGAAGTTAGATTCTGTTTTTCTCACCTTTTTCCTCTTAATGCCTGGCCCATTGGTTAGTAGAAAGCAGGATTTCTCTAGTTTGAATAAAATTGCCCTTATGGAAATAAGGTGAGATGTGTCTTATTGGAGGTCCAAAATTTAAAAAGCTCTGAAAGTTGATCATTTGTTTAGTTTTGTTTTGAATAAGTAAGGTGAGAAAATATCAACTGGAATTATACCTGTGAATCTGATTATCATCTTTCTTAATCTGATTTTCCCACTTTTTCATATGGAAATGTTCACGTGTTTGACTGCAGGTGTTGCCATTGGCAGATGTTATGTCATATATGATACATACAACATTTTACCTTTCTCAAATCCGAAACGGCGATTTTGAGAAACATCTGGCCTTTACAGGTTTGTTTAAGAGCTTGTGAGCCAGTTTTGTGCCCATTTTAGAGATGTCGAAATCAAAACAGGATAGATGACTCCCAGAATATCATTTTAGTAGATATGCTAATATTGATAATGATTTTAGGAATATTATGTCTTAATTGCCTGTATATGTTCCAGAGACCTTTTAGTGACTAAGAGCTGCTAAAGATACAGAGTATATATTTTTAAAAAGGGAATATGATCCAGTACTCAAGACACCAATCCTTTCCCTGCCTTTTCTGAATGGGAATGTCTTTCCTTATATGTGAGTAGATGAAAATGCACATTTAGTAATGATAAAATGAGTGAGAGAAAATTGTGTGTCCTGGCAATTTAGGTAACAGTGAGTAGACTTGCTTGTTTTTCAAACATATTGATATACTATTTTTCCATTTGTGTATTCAGATGTGGTAACAGCTCCAGTTTGTATTAGCATCTGGACAAAACGTAATGACTGATTATGTAATACAATGTGTTTGAGAGAGGAACATTTGGTTTTGTGTCATATCTGGCAAGAATGTGCTTTTGTATTATTTTCTACTTTGTAAATTATAATACCTATCCTGCATGTAAATTTTGTATTTAGTTTTCTGCTTGTAAGAATCTCTCATAGGTCAGTAAAATAAAATATTAGGTTTACTGTGCCATTCCAAGCACCTGACTACTTTTGGCTTTGCTACTTAATATTTTAAAAATGTTTTACAGCTTGCAGAGAGGACTTTCATTATCTTAATTTTATATATATTATTTAAAATAAGTTTAAAACTTAACATTTATGTTTATAAACAAGCTATTTTGGTCAATAAG